TCTAACATCTAATCTAACAAAATCTATCATTAATAAAAAAAAATGGTTTTTATGGTTTTAAATAATTTAATAGTATAATATAATTAATTATTTTGGTAAATCAACCTAGATCAGATTACTTACGACCCATGCAATCCTTAGATCTATCATTAATAAAAAAAAATGGTTTTTATGGTTTTAAATAATTTAATAAGATAATATAATTAATTATTTTGGTAAATCATCATAGATCAGATTACTTACGACCCATGCAATCCTTAGATTGTAAGGACTCCCAGAATATAGGAAACATGTTGATTCCTTACTAGATTACGTTTCCGTATCTTGCGGAACAAGCATGGTCAATCTCAGCGAAGTCGTCGGACTTCGCCCACTGTTCGAACCTCATTGGTGGCTAATCTAACATCTAATCTAACAAAATCTATCATTAATATAAAAAAATGGTTTTTATGGTTTTAAATAATTTAATAGTATAATATAATTAATTATTTTGGTAAATCATCCTAGATCAGATTACTTACGACCCATGCAATCCTTAGATTGTAAGGACTCCCAGAATATAGGAAACATGTTGATTCCTTACTAGATTACGTTTCTGTATCTTGCGGAACAAGCATGGTCAATCTCAGCGAAGTCATCGGACTTCGCCCACTGATTTTGGAACAAGATGATGGTGGCATCACTGCTCCATTTCAGCATTGCAAAGGAGGTTGTTGAATCCATGACCGAACTTCTGAGGTATTCGTATTTCGATCCATTTTACTCCGGCCTAGAAAAATCGTAGCCCATAATTATCATAACCAATAAACACGCATTTCATGAATTTGGGCATGAGCTTGTGTTTATTGTAAAGAACTAGACGGGGACAATAGGTGCATCCAAATGCTTTAAGAAAGCGATAATGCCCAAGATTATGTAGATGCAATCGATTAATGAGAAATGTGTTAGGGGTGAAAGCTTCCACCCAAAAGCTTGGTGGTAGCTGAGATTGAGTGAGAAAACATAGTCCGATTTCAACAACATGACAATATTTTCATTCAACAATGTCATTTTGTTATGGCATGTGAAGACAACAAATTTGTTGGATTATCCCATGACAGAGAAATGTCGGAATGCAATACTAGTGAATTCATCACCATCATCAGTTTGTAGCACTTTAATTTTGCGAGTTAGTCGATTCTCAAACATTATTTGAAAATGATAAATATAGGCAGAACATCATATTTGCGTGTAATAGGAAACAACCATACAAATTGAGAAAAATCATCACAACAAGTACGTAATATTGTAATCAAAATTAGACAAAGTTAGAGCAAGGCCCAAGACATCAAGATGTAGAAGATCTAAACGATAAGAAGTCCAGAAGTCCGGGAAGAAGAAGGTAATCGACATGCCTTGCCTAACGGATAAATGTGACAACTCTTATTGGAGAAGACTGCACCACTAAGAGGAATGTGATATTTATTTGCTAATATTTGAAAAATAGCATCAGAAAAATTGCCCAAGTGGGCATGCCACACATCAAGAGTTGTCTGTTCACCATAAAATACAATCTTAAGAGTGACATGAGAAGCAAGCTAAATATAGTAGATATCGCCATGGTTATGCCCAATCAAAAATACATGTCCCATTCTCTTGTCATTCACACAGAAACACTCATCATCTATCCCAAAAAACAATGATTATCACAACAGAAGCGATGAATTGACTGTAGGTTCTTCTTGATGGTATTGTGATATATGGGTAAGTGAGCACCATTCCTAACAATAATTGAATCAGTAACAGTTATGGCTCAATCTGAGTAAGGTGAGACAGATCATTGGTCACATGATGGGTTGCTCTCGAGTCGATGACCCAATGTGTGGATGATGAAGAGGCAGCATAACTAGTAGCATTATATCCGAAATTGAGAACCATGTTCATTTTTTAGGTTGCAGATGATCTAGTTGGTCGGGATTGAGAACTTTGTGTACGTCTTGAGCATTGGGCCCCTTTTTGTCGGGCAACGGTTCATGCGCTTGGCTCCTTGTTTTTTCTTGTTGTTGGACTGCTTCTTATCTGCCTTCTTCTAGGCGGCTTTCGGTTCCTCCTAAGGCTGCTCAGGTGTCTTGTGGACTCGTCGGACTTTGTCCGAGAGTGCATGCATTTTTGCTAAATTGAAGAACCTTGCCAAGGTCAAGTCCTATCCCATGATCAATTTTCCAAAAAAAGGTGGCATGCAGAGTCCATTTCGAAAGGCTGCAATGGCTTTCGTGTTGCCGCATCTAGCGATCTTGGCATTCTTCGCCTTGAATCGTTTCACATAACTGTGAAACAACTCATTCGGGTCTTTGTTAATGTTGAATAGATAAATTGATTTCTTCTTGATCGAAGCTATGGATAGACCACAATACTAGGGTATGGAAAGTCTTGCACCTCACCTCATAGGGTAGTGTCAACATATTAAGGCATCGTTGTTCCTGTAAAGGAACATCGGTTTATGGTAGTGCTTTATATGCTTCTCCTGATCTTTATTTCCTTTGAATAGGGTGAAATGTGGCATGCTAAACTTGCTAGGTGGGTCCGTCTGCTCGATCTTGTCAATGAAGGTTAACCTGCTTATGTTGGCTACATCCTTTTAAGAGTGTTTCGTCAACAGTCTCAATGTGCCAGAATTTGCGTAGTTACTTAGCTAGGAGCCTCCCTACTTCCTTCTAAATTTTCCTCTGTTGAGCCAGTGGAAACTCTGGTTGCCCCGAGTGGTGATCTTCAAGTTTGTGTTGCTTTTCCCCGTGTCCTGTTCGTCTATGTTGCGTTGTGACGCATGTGGTTCATCTCTGACAGGTGAGCAAGCTGCTTGTGGCTACGTTTAGGGGTAGCTACCAATTGAATTTGAGTCGGACTATGATTGTGCTTCTTTTCGTCCCTTACATCGCCTCATCTGGTGCGTGATAGGAGAATCTCAATAAATACCGTCTGGAATGCTCACCGAGTGTAGACCTAACAGTGAATGCACACAGACTTACGGGCCAATTAGGGAATGTATGCTTCTCTACACAGTAAGGCGGGAAAAGGCGTTTTTTTTTTTATAGGGAAGAGACGAGAGTGCACACTATCATAATGGTTCGTTCATGGCTGGTCAAATGGTTGTTTCATGGGACGTCGCTGGAAACAATCACCGTTTTCTGCCATTGTCCTGCTTTGGGACACCTTATGTGGGTCATTGCATTTATATGTGCTCCAGAAACTAACTCACCAAGGTTGCTTATTGACAATGAAGTTCATCAAATCTGCGATCCACTGAGACAAGTGGAAAAGCTTGACTAATAGACATCTCATTGTGTGGTGGAAGTGTAACAAGCTGCAAGTGCAAAGTTCCAGCCCAGATGAGGAAAAGCTGCAGAAAAACTAGGTGAAAATACCCCTGTTTCAGTTGCCAGTCTAAAAGTCGGTTTGGAATGAAGACTTAAGATCCGATTGGGCACATGGGCTTAGGATGAAGCGTGGGTCCTAGTCGAGGCGTGGATTCGGGTCGACTCGCATGACCCTAGGCTGAAGTTTGGTACATTAGGTTGGCGCAATAGGCCTTTTGCCTGTGGGCTTCCTCTACTAGCTAGGTCAATTCTGTCATGGTTTTAGAATTTTCAACCATTGTATCCTTGGCCTAGGGATTGATCAAGGAACTTTTCTAGGAAAAATACATGGGAACTTTAATGAAAAGCTCTCGGTACTGTTCACTTTAACGAAAAATCATATTTTTACACTAAAAAGTCAATCATGGTACTATTCACTTTACCCTTTATTTTGTCTTTATCGTTAAAATTCAAAGTTTTCAAGTCATTTTCATTAGTTTTCCTAAAATACAATGACTAAGAGCTTAAAGGAAATTCAACGTAATAAATGATTTCGAAGAATCAATGCAAGAGCCTTTTTCGAGCATATTAAATGGGGCTCTCAATGAAAGCACCAATTTGTGGTAGCAAAATTCTACCATCTTCAGTCCTGACGGAATTTGTACCTACAAAATAAATAAACACCTTCTATCAAGCCCAAAGCCTCATGCGCCCACGAGGTGAGGGGGTTGGCCAATGGATCTCCGATGCCTAAATTTGGTGGAAATGGTGTATTTACAAAGCTAGGGTTAGAGTTTTGCCCTACACACGACGACATCTGATTGGCCAAGGTGAATCATATGTGTGATAGATGAGGAAAGAATCATCCCAAAGATATTAATTATGAGATAACATCTTGGAATTATCTTGGAAATAGATTGGATATGATTGAAATTCCTTCCCAGATTGAGTTGATCTTCAACTATGAGAGTATTAAAGGTTGGATTTGGTAATTAACCTTATCTTTGTAGTAGGTTTCTCATGTCTTCAAGGGGGTTGAACTGCAGGTGAATTAAATGTCTAACCAATTTAATGATGGCATTCTTGTCTTCTTTGAGAAAAAGTCCACTTGGCATCTTCGGGATTTTTAGAATTATTTTTTGCCTCACAATAACATCAAATATAAGTGATTCATGTATGTGCTGAATGATCTAGATTCATGGTCACATATAGACAATGGCTAAATATTGTAAAATTTAATCAAATTTTTGTGAGTACAAGCGATATTTTGAACTCGTTATGCTATGGATGAAGATGAAAACCCAACCCACACCAGAGCAATTCATCGCTCGCAATAATTCTAGATTTTAAGCAAATAATGCAAGATTATTGATTTCCTCTAAAAGGTCGTACCCAGTGCATAAGGCTCCCGCTTTACGCAGAGTCTGGGAGAGGTGAATGTCGACTAGCCTTATCCCTATTTATGGAGAGGTTGCTCCCAAGTCTCGAACTCGAGACCTACCACTCATGGACGAAGGCACTTGCTCCCAAGTCTCTAAACAAGTAAATAAATTTAAAGAAAAAGGAAATTACCCTTCTTAGATCTTCCTAGTGTTGGCAATGCTTACACCTGAGAATCATAAATTACAAACAAAAATAAACAGACAAGACATTCCAACCAGTCAATAATTAGACTTAACAGCAGCAGTTGCATGTCACTGTCATTAGCAATTTAGCATTAAAAAAAACCATCCAACAATAATTTGTACAAAAAAACCCCAGCTGGATCCTGAATCCCATTAATAATTGTACTCAAAACTAAAATAGCATAATAGAGAGAGAGACAGAGAGAGAGAGAGAGAGAGAGAGAGGATCACAAATCTAGCTACGATTTCTTGGGTCTCTGATACTAATATAATTACATATAGTTGTTGGCGTTATCTAGTAGTCCAGGACCAAGCGCCTGGAGCAGAGAGTACAGAAGTACTTCCTCTTAATCTTGAAGCACAAGGGCAGAAAGCAAAGCTTCCGTTGAGCCTCGACATCCACCGCTTGCACTTTGCCTCGGCAGTGCGGGCATGATCCAGGAGCTTGCTGCCTCCCCAGCTCCTTCTCTTCCTCGTCGCAGACGCACGCCAGCCACATTTTTCTCCTGGGATTTAACTTCTCTGGGTTTTGTGTGAGGTGAGTGTTATGGGGAAGGTTTGTTTTGATCTGGGTTTTTGAGAGAGCGCTGCCGGATTGGGGGGGTTGGTGACTTGGGGTTGGACAACTCAATGTGAAATTAATATAAAGAAGCTGAAGCCTGTCAGTGACTACATAAAGGGCAGGGGAGAGAAAAAGAGGTTTAGAACGGGAATATACCCCACATGTATTAACTATTGTTTTTCAAGCAAGTAAACTTTCATTACCTTAAAAACTACTATAAGGTAAAAAAAAAAGGGAACTTTAACAAAAAGTATCCGGTACTGTTCACTTTAACGAAAAATCATATTTTTACACTAAAAAGTCAATCCTAGTATTATTCACTTTACCCTTTATTTTGTCCTTATCATTAAAACTCAAAGTTTTAAATCAATTTTCAATAGTTTTCCTAAAAAAAAATTCAGATAAACAACGACAAATTAACTATAGGTTTTACTTTTAATTTTACGGCAATGATATTTATGCTAAAGGATGAAGGATTTAATAATTCGACATAATGCATTGATATAAAACCTGTCATTTATAAGAGTTGAATTAAGACTTTCTACTTATAAATAAATAAGGATATCATTAAAAAGTAGTACTAGTGATTATGATCTCGCTATAAGCTATTATGTATTATGAAAACTCAACCATAAGCATATAAAGAAGCAAAGTAATATGGCAACAAATGGTATCGTAAACTACATGTGATCTAATATTTTAGTGGATAAGGTGTTAAGTTTCTACCGATGAGTTCCAAATTCGAAATTTCACCTCCTCTAAATTATTGTAATGGTTTCGAACCCTTCATCTCTTCTTATTAATAATAAATTTAGAAGGAAAAAAGTATCGTAAGCTTAGGACATGAAGGTGATCACACTAGTATTTGTTCATGTAATTTTTCTTAGAAAAATTTATATACAAGACATATTTGATATGTAATCTTTAAAAATACGAAGAGGATATTTTCCTATGAAATCTTTTTCTGCTTGTACTAACCAGCTACAGAGTGTGAACAACTGATTTATAGCACGTGTCCTTGAATCTACACAAAATAACTTTTCATTTCATGCTCTTTTAATATTGATCTTTAGGTTTGCTTCTTCATTTAGGGCGAAAAATTAAATTGATAACAAACTCGTTATTAATAAGATTTAAATTTAAAATCTTTCACCACCGGGAAAAAGTTTAGGCTCGCTTATGGAAAGTAAAAACGAAAGCAAATTAGTTTCAAATGATTAAATATTTATTTATAAATAAAGATGAATATTACTGTTAAGTCATTACTACCATCTAATTAACTATGGACATTGGTGGGAACCAGAAATATTCACCAATTTCAATTTACTTTTCTCTTTTTTGTGAGTTTGAAATCGAAAACCCAATGACAAATTTAAATAAAGTAACATAAGGTCTATTTTTCTTAAATTGTATTATTCATGAACCCTAGATTGTAACATGTTTAATGTTTTATTAGATAAATATAGGCCAAATAAGATTATAATAGAGTCCGTGATCCAAATTAAAAAAAAAAAAGAAAAAAAAAAGCTAAGCTTAACCAGGTTTATATTTTATTGAAGTATGTGATGAACGGGCAAATATTATATTGTCTAAATGATAATTTAAAGGGATCTTTTGATATAGGCGCCTCACTTTTGAATTTTCTAAATCAAACATCCATGTCTTTTAGTGATTTGATTAAACTTTTTTTTTGGTCATAATTTTGTTACGTTTTGCTTGATCATGCACTTCTGACTATTTTTCTTAACTCAAGACTTTGTTTCACTATAAACATTCTACTTCAAATTCGCGCATTGTTTCCTAGATTATTCTCGGTTAAATGTGGTAACGATTTCAATTCGTGTGGTAATCATGATTCAGGCGTATGGTTTAATTTAAGGCTTTGATTGTTTTCGCTTGTGTGAGCTTGAATACCGACTATGATAAATTTCGGGGATGTGAGTTCTTTTGTCAATTTCCGAAGATTTTTCCACGTTAGTTTTGTCATATACATCGAGCTGCTTAATGATTTAAATTAACGTCCCTTTTAACACAATTTAAATTAAATTAGGGAAAATTAGAATCCCCAACAGTTTTTATATCATTTAGATTAAACATATGTGCCCTTTTTAAAACTTGATTAAAGTGTTTTGACCAATAGTCATCTTTGTTTTTTTAAATTAAAATAATTTTAGAAATTTATCATTTTATCTGCATGATGCACTTTTCCTTATTTAGTGGACATATTAGTAATTAAACTATATTTTCTCTTCTTCCAAATATGTTTTTTCGATCATAGTTTTTTTTTTTGTTGTTATGCAATATTATTTCTTTTTCCAAATGGTTTTGTTCTTTTTCAAATAGTTGGTGATCAACATAAAAGCTCCAAGTAATTTTTTTCATTTTTTTTTGCTATTTTTTTTAAGTATATGTGTTGACGAATTATTATTAGGTACAATACATTACGTATATATTATCTGCGGGTACGTTTGAATTTACAAAAATCATTAATTGGTACGTTTATTTGCAATTTTGGTATGTTTGATTTAATACATGTTGTTAATATTGGTACTTTTTATTTTGTACACATTGTGTATTGGTAAGTTTATATTATTCTCAATCCTATTTTCTCTTAACGTACTAAAAGAAAAACTTATTTTGGTACGTTTGATTTTGGGGGATTTAAAAATATTTTAAACTATTTTGGAAAGAAAATATCTTAAATCATAGATAATTATTGCTAAATTGTAGCATTATTGTGAAAATAAATTGAATCTAACCAACATTTTTTTTTACAATTATCTCTAATGGAGGAGAGTGTAATAAAAAAGCTAGATTATTGGAAATTTGTTACAATATAATGTGCATATAGCACCAAAATTATGACCAAAAAAAAAGTTTAATCAAATCACTAAAAGACATGGATGTTTGATTTAGAAAATTCAAAATTGAGGCGCCTATATCAAAATATCCATAAGAAAAATGAGAGAAGTTTTGAGGGAATGATTGGAACGAAGGGTGTGTATTTCTATATGCAACAAAAAGGTGATTATTTAAATTGAACTCGACTATTAATTTACCACAATCGGTTTGTTAGTCGCTACGCCGGAAATCTTAAAAGATAAGATGAGAGAAGCCCTCTAATTAATCATCTAAAAGCTTGGATAAGCGTCACTATGTTGTCAAACTTATGATTAATAAACACACCTAACCATCGTATGGACAATGACACAGCGAAATATGTGAGGTTGTCACAAAGGGAACGGATTCCCTTCGAATCCAAAAGAACTGAGACCATTAATCAATGCATCCAAATTATTGAAATTTAATCTAATGATTACAAATAGAGATCCATTTAAAAGTTATAATAATTATAACCGTTAGATTAAATTTCAATGGTCCGAATTCATTGATTAGTGGGCTCAGTTTCCTTGGATCCGGTTCCATCACAAATAATGGCTTTGATTTACAGGACTTTTACTACAATACTTAAAATTAATACATTACTATTTGAATAATGATTTTAATTAGTATGATGGTACGGTGTCATTATTCCCCACTGCTAAGTTAGAACTTTTACGTTCAACTTATATAAATATAAGTGTAACAATTTATTATTTACGTTGAGTTTGATGTATAATTGTAGTTAAGTTATGGTTCTGAAATTTCAAATCTTATTATATAATAAAAAATAAATTAAAATAAATAAAAGCATACTTGTGAACAATGAAATTTTTTTCAATAAGTCAGAAACATGCTGATACACTAGTAAGTATCAAAAAAACAAAAAATCAACTATTTGTATCTTAATACATACTTGATGGCTGATACACTAGTAAGTATCATAAAAAAAAAAAGAAAATTCAACTATTTGTATCTTAATACATACTTGATGGTGTTATCGGCACAGTACAAAATTTTTACTGAACAACAGAAGAACGTAACTCCCATCCTGCAACAATCGGACTCCCGACGTCAGCATGTGGTAGCAGCCGTATATGATACGGCGGGGTCCAAGGCTGACGCCACACGATGCAGACCCACGTTTTTGGCAGGCGCTATTCCAAGAGCTTACCTGGCCAACTCTACCTAAGGCCGGTTGAAGCTGAAGGAGGCCCACTGATTTGCCTTTACTTTTTAAACAGAGATTATATTCACATATTTTAAATTACTTTTTTTATATTTTTTTTAAAATTTAAATATTTTTTATCAAGTGTTAGTGATGTATGAAAAATATTAAAAAATTAAAAAAATATGAGATAAGTAATTTAAGAAGTGTGAATATAATCTCAGCTTTTCAAAAGGTGCATCCCTGTGTGGATTGTGGGGCGCAGACTCTGTCGACTCCCTCAGTAAACCCTCACGGCTCAAAAGCCTCAATCGGCGTTTTGGTCGTGATCCTGTAACGTATCACCGAACGCTGATGCGGAGGTGCATGAGCGACTGCGTACGCATGCATTTGGTTCCTTGTGTTTTAATGGATTTGATATCCCCTCTGCAGCAAAAGCCATCTGTTGCACTACTGAGTTTACGAAAGCCCTCGCCTCTTGTTTTTTTTGGCATTGCTCTCGAAGTATCTTTGTGAGCTGATTTTTAGCTTTCTTTTTCTTTTGCATGTATCATCTTCAGTTTTTGAGAACTAATAAGTTATTGGAAATGCTACATACATTGTTTATATATATGACGACTTAGTTAACAAATGAGTTTCCATCACAGAAATATGATAAATTGTTTGGATGGATACAATACGACATATCTTTTAAATCACATGATTCTAAATGTAATTTTTTCACTCTCGTTAATGTTAATGTAGTTTGGAGTTGCAATTATTGCTATAAAACAAAGAATAATGTTAAAAAAAAAACCCATTCTTTTACAACTTTTTAATTAACTTATACAAAAAGTATTATTTTTTGAAAAGAAGTGATAAACAATTTGAGAATTTCAGTTAGAACTCCCACTAGTAATTTACGGACGTAAAATATATAAGATTATTTTCCCAATACCTTCGTTCTGTTTTTTCTTGTGAATCGTGCTGAAGTAATTAATTAATAAGTTATACATGCGAATGGTGGGCTTATAGTTTATAGGGCATTCAAAGTCATACGTAAACTAAATCTTGCAACCTAAAACGTTCAAGACGATTGAATTATTACTTAAATATTAATTAATATGTTTATTATTTTATTATTGATACATAATTTAATTTACAAATTTAATCTACATAGTATTATCCTATAATTAATCTCTAACCATCCAAAAGTGACGATTATAATTTCACTGAGGAGGGGCTAAGTGCTTGATCTACGTGGAATATAGACAATTACGCATGCTGCATCCAATGCAAATGAAACTAACCTCTTCCTACATGTCTCGATCGGTCCACTTGTAAAAGTCTAGTTATCCCATTCACCGTAACTTTACAACCATCTGGTGCAGGTCAAGTCTTCAATGTGCAAAATTCTTAATTATTTAAAAACCTAGCTATGTCATTGATAAGCTTGCGTAAATCTGAATAAATAATCAAGCAGCCTTAAGATGTATTAAGATAGAGAGAGAGAGAGAGAGAGAGAGAGAGAGAGAGAGAGAGCAAACATTCTTGTTATTCATTGGTCAAGATTTGTGACCAACCAAAGCAGGCAATTTAGAGAGGTCCTTGTGTAGGTAGGGGAAACGGTTATTCTATTTGCATTAAATGGACGTGCAATATAGAGTTGAGTTGTGGTTTGCACAAGTCTAAATAAAGAAGAGTTTCTGTCGTAAAAAGCTTTCCAATAGCTCTTTTTGACCAATCATAATTTCTTGTGAACCTTCTATTTTCATGTTTTTCTCTTTAAAACAAAGGTTGGCAGTCGAGAACCACGACAAGTGGGCCTGTGAAAAAGTGCGAACATCAGTTTCCTAAAGAAGATAACGGGAGGTCCTAAGTTTGATACTTTGTAAGCTGTAAATTTGCTTGATCATGACTACGAGTAGGGTGTAATTCCCAACTAACCTTCTTTGAGCTCGTAAGAAGTCTTCCAAAATTTCAACAAACTTAACATATCCATCATCCAAGTATCCAATAATGGTCGAAACTTCAACGGGCAGTCTTCATCTTCAAGGAAATAACCGAGTTAAATCCGTATTCCTTGGTTTTTAGAGATTATGACTAAAACTAAAGATTTCAACGATTATTAATATTTGGTGTTGAAAAAAAAATGATAATAACTGATTTAAATCCATACTCCTAGAGTCAAACGTCCACGACCAACTTATTTTCTCTCCGGGTGTGAGAGACTTTCTCTCTGAGGGTGATAGCTTATTCTCTATGTGTGAGAGCAGTACAAAACCTTGTTTTCTCTTCTTGCCGCCGGCCCTAATCCTTTTAGGGTCGGTGGAAACCCTCTCTTCTTTCTATTAGTTTTCCCTGATTTTTCTTCTTGTTGTTGTCTTGCCTTCTCGCCACCGACTATCTTTGTTCTCCTTCCCTCAGATCCACACATCCAACTTTCAAAACCACTCATCTACACACCTATCCACATGAACTACGGAACTGTATGTGTTCGGTGCTAAAATGCAGAATAAAACTCAAATGTATAAATTTTTAGAAGTGCGAAAATACATGCAATACTTGGGAAAAATCGTTGGCATACTTAATTTGAAGCTCCCAAGAGTCATTCATTCTTCGAAAGTTTTCATTAATCCTTAAAACGTGGAAGGTGAAAGAGGATGAAACTGTGTTTAAGGGTTTGAAGAGAGTGTCGTCCTTTATTCTCATTTCATGCAAGTGCATAATTAGAAGGAATTTTTTCATTAATTTCTTGAGTGTCAAGAGATGATATAACATGAGCTACTTACTAATTGCTCCTTGAGCTTGCAAGGCACAATCAATTTTTCTCATGAACTTTTAATTCATCCAGTATTCTATTCATCTTTGTCAAGTGTTCCCCTTGAGAAACTTCAGAGGATAAAGAAGTCATTGCGCCCCTCACTAGTAATTAATTTCAAACAGATGAAAGGGAGGGAACGTGGATGGGTGTTAGTGAGGGAGAAAATAAGTCATTTACTCTTGGAAATCTCTCATGCGGACAACACATGACAAAGATAACAAAATGCTGGATGGAAATCCGAAAATCTAACAACATGGAAGATTTGTCTAATTGCAAAAGTTAAGAGGGGTAGTTGAGGAGAAAATTCAAAAATAAAAGTTCAGGAGAAAATTTACAAATTTAAGGGGTAAAGCAACGAATATCTTTTATAACAAAAATTTTACATTTACTACGGTAATGCAGAAGGATCCAAATCACAAAATCCCCGGAGCTCGGCCCAATAAAAACATGTCAACCGGCCCAAGCCCTGCCTTAAAAGAACCGAGCAAATGAACCAATAGGCATGCCCAGAAAAAAAATTTAAACCCGGTCCAGAACCCGGCGACCCAGTGTTGCCGCCAGCTCCGCAAGCCTTTCTGGCAAAATTTCTGTTTCATGCTTTCCTTCTCCTGATCAGAAACAAACACATCTCTCTCTCTCTCTCTCTCTCTCTCTTTCTCTCTCTCTCTCTCTCCCTCCTCCTCCGAAGCTGCTTTGCTCTGCAACTCGATGTTCTATAAAACCATTCCGTTCGTCTTCGATCTTAGAAATCCCTACCGCCATGAATTCCAACAGTGAGCTCGCTCTAATCTGATCAATTCCGAAGGGAAAAACGATTAAGAATTCAAATCATGTGGTTTTCGTTTTGGAAGTCCAGGGATCGCTTCTCCTTAGACGAGCTCAGGTTTGTCATTGATTTCGAGCTCGGTTTATCGCTAATTTTAATTTTTTTGTTGGATTTGGGGATTATTTAGTTGGTGTTTATGGTTAATTAACGTAATTAAGGGTCTGCTGCGTGTTTGGTTTGATTAATTTGATTGTGTTGTGACTGAGAATTTGAATTTTGGATTGTAATTTGGACTCTCAGAGTTAATGTGGTGCAAAGGCGATTCCTTTTGGTTTATTGTTATGAGAAAAGTGGTTGGAAAATAGGGAAATGGAAAATTCAGTTTAGAATTAGTGTCGACAGAACCTAACATTGCTGGTATCCAATCGTTTTGGTTTATAGTTCAGTGAGTGAGTTGAGTTTTAAGCGGTGCTGTTCTTGGTTGCCAGAAACTTGGATACCGAATGTTTGAATTGATACCGAGTGTTTGAATTGACAATTACCGAATGATACCAAATGTTTGAATTGAAAATTACGAGCGGTTTCCAGCTTGACATTAGTGAAAGGAGTGGGGTTTGTGTAAATGGCATGCTGCACCTGCCTGAATGTTCTTTGGAAAACAAAGTTGAATCTTCATCTCTATCAGCTAGTGACCTGGCCGCTCTTGCCGCAACTAATTCATCTAGGGTAGGAGAGCATGCATTTTTAACCCTCTGGGTCTCCACTGGAGCTGTAAAGCTAAGGTGGAAAGCTAGTTAAAATCCAAGTCGTATACTATTCTACATTTTTAAGTTCTAAATAATCAATAATGAAGAATACTGCTTGCTCCATGACTAGCCTGGTGAAGATGAATCTTGATTTGGAAGCGGTTCATGATGATTTACGAATGGCCTACAATTAACTTACTAGACCTTGAAATCAAATGCATAAGCTGGAACTGAGTAAAGATTTTATCTTCTTGTTTTGATGTTCATGTTCACTTCTTATTAATTGTAGGATGATTTTTTATCACTGGTGTAGCATGACGAGGAGGGGCGCAGGCCCCTCTAGGTGCACGCACACACACACACACACACACACACACACACACACACACACACACACACACACACACACACTAAGTATAGTTTCAGATGTGAATTTAAACAAAATTACATAAACACTAAATACGAGACCTCCTTAGGTTCTGCAATACATGACATTGTGTTTTAGTAAAAACTTTTGTTATCGAGTAACTGTAAGCCATCAGTGCACTCTTAAATGAGTATCTCAATCTTCCATGTTTGATCTATGTTCCGTGAATCAAGATCTCATTTAAGGAATTCGTTTGGTATAGTTATAGGTTTGAAACAAGCTACAGTCATGCCAGATCTTGAAAAACTTGAATATGAATTAGTAGAAATATGACCATAACCAAGTATATGCTATATAATTATTAACCTATACTTGTATTATCAAAGACTGTTTCATAATATATAAGAATCTGCTTGTATGTTTCTGGTTAAAGTACTTGTGCTTTTCTAATACATAGTACCTAATATCCTAAGATCCTATTTCTTTAGTCTCTTGTCAAATAGATCCTTATTTTCAATCACATTTTTTCCTTTCGATGTGTTTCCAATCTTGAACCTCTATTGGTCTTTTGGTGGTATATATTTTCTATATACATTTGTTTTAATTGAGCAGGTATTTAACTGATCAGCTGATAAAAGTTCAAATTGTGAATGAAGTAAACAAGGTGACTGGAGTCCATTTTCTTCCTCTTTCAGCTGAATTATGTTATTAGAATTTTTTCCTCAATGTACCAACATCTAGTCTGTTTAAAGGATTTCGTTATTGAGGCGCTGAGATCCATTGCGGAGTTAATAACGTATGGAGACCAGCATGACTCCACCTTTTTTGAGTAAGACTTCTCAATGCTTAGTGTTGCTGGATGTACATATCATATTGCTAGCGTTTCATAATGCTCTGTCAATTTTGTAGATTTTTCATGGAGAAGCAAGTCATGGGAGAGTTTGTACGTATATTGAAGGTTAGCAGAACTATGACTGTGTCACTTCAGTTACTACAGACAATCAGCATTATGATCCAGAACCTAAAAAATGAACACGCTATATGTAAGTTGCATTTGAAGAAAGAACCAGATAATTTTCAGTTTCTCTAGTTGCTCCAGTTGGTGATGGCATGCTAATAGATTTGGTGCCTTGATCAATCAACTTTCTTTGCAGACTACATGTTCAGTAATGAACATATGAACTACTTGATAACGTATTCATTTGACTTCCAAAATGAAGAGCTACTGTCGTACTACATATCCTTCTTAAGGTTTGTTTTTGGTCTCTTTGTTGTTCTTATGGTAATTGATGCTTACGGTCACCGCATATCCTTACAACTTATCTTCAAACAGTACCTTTCTGACATGTTTGGTTGGTTATGTTGTTTGATTCCACTGTATGGTCCGCGAAGAGCAATAAGTGGGAAGCTAGACAGGAATACAATTTCTCTGCTTGTAAAGACTCAAAATGTAAGTAATGATTCTTTCTTTTTATTGTTTATTATGACGTATAGGGCTTTCATTATTCATTATTAAAAGGTCGTACCCAGTGCACAAGGCTCCCGCTTTACGCAGGGTCTGGGAGAGGTGAATGTCGGCTAGCCTTACCCCCATTTATGGAGAGGCTGCTCCCAAGTCTCGAACCCGAGACCTACCGCTCATGGGCGAAGGCACTTGCCATCGCACCAAGTGCGACCTCTTTTCATTATTCATTATTACGAAGAAAAATTACCCAAGATACCTAATGACTTGAATGCAAGATTCCTAATTTATTATTACCCAAGATACCTAATAACTTGTCTATCAACCATATATTGGTTGTCATTTTCTGACGTTACAAGTAACTCTAGGTAGTCTTCTCAAAAAAAAAAAAAAAAAAAAAAAAAAAGTAGCTCTAGATAGTAAACTTCATTACAAAGGATGAAAAACTACACATCAATATTGGATAGATCCTTTCGAATGGCCTCAACTTTTACAAAATGCATTCATGTACAAGGGAGATGTAGTATGAGGAATGGAGGGTTATTTACCCATCACGCCTCAAATTTATATTGCTTGCCTGTCGGCAATGACTTACAAATTTTGCATGTAAAGTATACATCCATTAGTTAATCTCTTTATTTTCTAGTTTCATATATGATAGCCATGCATGTATCTCCTTTTGTGCATCTAGGATGAAGTGGTTTCATTTCCACTCTATGTTGAGGCAATACGATTTGCCTTTCATGAGGAGAGCATGGTCCGCACTGCCATACGGGCTTTGACACTTAATGTTTATCATGGTGAGTTTCAGTTTTTCCCTCTCTGCTTAATAAGCTTCATTCCCCCCTGCCCTCTCTCTCCCTCTCTCAGATTTAAAATTTGTTGTGTGCAACTTATTTTAATACATGAAAGTTTGATGTGATTTTTCAGTGGGAGATGAAGTGTCAACAGATATATCACCAGTGCCCCTCATGCAGATTATTTTTCAAACCTAGTTACATTTTTCCGAAAGCAGTGCATCAATCTAAATGCCTTGGTTTCAGACTCTATGAAGTAAGAGTCATAATTATGTTTTGATTTTACTTTAGAAGAATGAATTTATTTTCTCTGAAAGGTTTCATTGGAATGATGAAACAGAAATCCGGGTGCAGAGTCTGCAGACACAACTGCATTAATTTCTGCTGCTGTTGATGAGATCGAGGACAATCTCTACTATTTTAGTGATGTTATTTCTGCAGGAATTCCTGATGTTGGGAGGTTAATTACAGATAACATCTTGAAGCTTTTGATATTCCCGCTGCTTCTTCCTTCACTTACAATAAAAGCTGTCGAAGTATGGATACATACCCATTTTTCTTATTCCATAATTATAAGAATGCAACATGCTCTTATTTAACCTTTGGTAGCCTGTAAATTCAGGGGATACAAATTGGTGCTGCCACGTCTTTGTACTTGGTTTGTTGCATCCTGCACATAGTGAAAATCAAGGATTTGGCAAATACCATTTGTGCTGCTCTTTTCTTTCCATTGGATTCTTTCTTTCCAAAGTCTGGAGCTAAACCAAATGGCTGTATGCCTTTCTATGGCTTTGCACATGAAAGCCAACCGCCAGGCAGTAATACCAAGGAAGGTGTTGGAATATTAAGAGTTGACGTGACAAACTTGTCAAGCTCTCCCCAAATCCACTCAGTGGATGTCACAAGAGAAAATGATTATTGTGATTCTCATTTGTCTTTGAGGTAACGTAATAACATTGATTACAGCTGACATCAGAGTTTTGATTGCGCAGTTAATCATAGAATTCTGAGTGAGAATGTTATTATTGATTTGGTTTACTAATTTTGTTGAGATATAGAGACTGTTTAAGAACTCTTGGTTCGTGACTCTCGATTATAGTTAGAACTTAGAACAAGGTTCTGTTCTTGTTGATAACTGTTCAAGGAAATCAAGCCTTAAACTCTTTAGATCATCTCTGGAGTTTGAATTCGTGCACATGTAATTCTGTCAAACAATCTCAGTAACATCACTCAAATGAATTGGCCTAATCCTAGATCTTTTGGGTCTGCTACATGCATACTTATTCATAAATTATTGGGATCTTGTCATGAATTTTCTTTGACCATTCAATCCAACCTAGAGCTGTGTGTCTAACTAAATCTTTTACAGAAATATCCTTTTTATACGCTTCTACTAGACTACTAGTGCCATTCTTGGGCTCCATCTCAACATTTTGAATATAGGACGGACCTTGAGTTTCAAGGATACAACCATGAAAAAGAGTGGTCATGGCTCTTTGATAGACACACAGCTCTTAGGTTCTTTTTCATATTTGAACTTCTATGAGTCATGAGCAGAATTGCGTTTTATGGCTAACTTTTTCACTTGTTTCCTTTGTACTGTCTTGTTTATTGTTTATCATGATGTAGGGAGGCTTTGATTTCTTATATTGCGAGTGGGGATGATATACAAGTTGCTGGTTCGTTGACTGTACTAGCTACTTTACTGCAGACAAAAGGTTATATTGCTGATATGCAGATTTCATAGCAACTGGCTTTTATCACTTTCTTACCAGAATATACTTCTGTCAAATTAACACAACTGCTACTTGTCACAGTTTCTTACTAAAATCCCCTCTTTCAAATTCACAACAATGCTTCTTCTAACTGTTTCTTACCAAATATCCACTTTGTAGAATTGGATGAATTAATGCTAGATGCTCTTGGAATTCTTCCTCAACGCAAACAACATAAGAAACTTCTGCTGGTATGCCTTTGTAAAGTTACTTTGTGATACTTTTCTGTTTGGGATACGAGTATATAAGTAAAATTCCTAGGACCAAGAGAGTTACTAGAATGGTTGGTATCTTTGTCTCGTGATGATGTAGATGACAAATTAAAAGGGTAAAGCAGCTGTTAGTTGGGTTAGGTGAATGCTAATGTAGAGGGATTATTGTATGTAATTTGGTAGACCTATGAGTGGCATCCTTCAAGTCAGCTTGATAACATATTTTTGAAATTTTTGAAAACCAAAGAAGAATTCAGTTTTGGAAGTTGAAACACCAAGTCAAACTTTATAAAAACAACAAATGCAGAACTAAACTGGACACTTTGGTTTTGAATGGTTGGCTTCAGCAGTTGATTTGGTTTTCCACTACTATATACCCCAAAAGATAAAAAGGAGACTTAGGTAGGACCAATTAATGTCCCCAGATTACAATATGACTTGCTCGAGGAATTGGAATTGTTTGTGCAGTCATACGTCTCGTGTATTTTCTTTTCCTTTCTTGTGCTTTGTACAGACTTTTTTTGTGACTAAGGTCCATTCTGCCGCCTTCTTTATTAAGCAATGACTTTATTTTTTTTGTCCATATATGAGACAGCGCTGTCCCATTTCCAACCAAGGAATTTAAACAAGAATCTTAGATCTCATTATTCCTCTAGTTATTCGAAATTAGGTCACTATCGAGGAATAATTACTTAATTTCCTTATTTTCATTTACAATTCTTTTCATTTATCTCTTTACTAACTCACAAAAGTTATTACCATGGAAAAAAAAAATGATATCTTAAAAAGGATGTCTAAGTGTTTTGTGTAATCGAGTGTATATAAAATTCACGCTGCATGTGTTGCTTTCTGAATTACTTGATATTGGCCTGGGTTTTTACCACCACTTTTTTTTTTTTTTTAAAACTCATATCCAGAGCAATGCGCTGCCTCAATGTTTGGCTATTCTTCTGGGTATCTTAATCTGTGTATTCCCTTTTTGAGGTTTTGATGCTTTTACTCTGACTATCTAAATTATTCGAATGAAAATGTTACTGTATTGATTAGTACGCAATTTAATGCATTTCTTGTTTTATTCTTGCAGCAAGCTTTGGTTGGTGAAGTCTCAGGAGAAGAGCAACTTTTTTCTTCAGAAGGTAGCTCGTCAAAAGATGGTATTGAATGTGGTAGTGAGCTTGATAGTTCTCTACAAAAGCTTAAGGTAGTCATGGTTTCCCTCTCCCTCTCTCTCGTGGGAACAAATGGAAAGGTTACGACGAGTGATGGTCTAAACTAATTTATACTATTCTAACCTGTGGGGAGTGGGATTCGAACTTGGGTGCAAGGTGGTGGACACACTGCCCTTGCCAACTGGACTAACTCACATCTTCCTTGTTTAATAACCTTTTGATTTTTGTTTTGTTTCCAAGGAAAAAAGAAACCTATTTGATTTGAACTCGGGTGCAAGGTGGTGTACGCGTTGCCCTTGCCAACCGGGGCTAACTCACATCTTCCTTGTTTGATAACATTTTGAGTTTTTGTTTTATTTTCGAGGAAAAAGAAACCTTTTGTTTTTGTTATTAGTTTTTTGTTAGGAAGAGGGAAATTACTGTGGGGGAAAAGCGAGGTGAAGAAGGTGGTGGGAGGGAAGGAGAAGGGAGAAATAAATGCAAAAAAACTTTTTCTATTTATTTTTTATTTTCTGTAACACCATCCACAATTTTTCCAACACCCTTCATCTATCCTTTTCTCATATATTTCCTGTCTATATCTAACAGAAAATGTTTCAGTACTAGTGATTTCGTCAGTGACTCATTTGTATTTGCGTACAAGAATGTGTTTTCAATTGTATCCAATTGTTCTGTGCAGTTTAAAGAACTTAGGTTCCAAGTTTTATATTTACTATGTAGAGTGAAATTTTTGCACTGTCATTGCAAGAGGTTTTACAAGTTCACAAAGCCATGTTTTATTAGTATGATATATTTTATAAAGCTGAAGTCGCCTTGTTTTATATAAAGGGTTCCAAGATTTCAAAGCGGGTAAATAAATTAACAATTGTGCTATCATTATGTAGTAACACTTGGTTTTAAATTGTTATGGTTATTCAAGTTCACAGCTTATAAAGGTTAAATGGTTTCCAGTTCTAGATTTTTTTTGTTTGAGGTTATAGTATGTTTACATTGTGAGTTGTTGTCTATCATGATAATTCCTTCATTGGTTGGTTGACTTTATATTTTTTGTAATCTGCAGGAACAGTTTGGACTGTCATGTTCTTCTCTGGAAGTGAGGGCTAGTCCTCAAGTGCATAGATTTCAGGTAATTGGGGTAAAAAAATTTGAATTTAATTGAATGTTGAACTTTCAAAACAGTTTCTGTCAAATGGTTGGCCTTGTTGAATTTTCTTGGTTAAAAAATAGGCCCAGTTAAAGTTAACTTTGGTGAACTAAATAAGATGAAGCACCAAAAAGCTCTCAATGCAAACCAATGATTATTTTGAGATCATTTATATGCTAAATAACTCTCACTCCCCAGTGACTTGTGGCGGTTGCATCTTTTAGAACTTTTAGGAAACTAGCCTTAGGCATGGCATTTTGATTTGAATTTTACTTCTATTTCTTTTGGTTTGTTTTGCAAAGATTTTACTTAATTCACTATATTACAGTCTTGTGTTCTTTAACCATTGATTAGGAGATTCTTTTAGGGTTTTTGACACGTAGGCTTAGAATATAAAATGATAGTTACTCTGACATCCTAACTGCTTAAGCTTTTGGGAAACAGTAGTCAACTGTCAAAATTATAAATGGCCGCAAGATTTTATGAGTCTGCAGCTCGATCCTCCCAACTTTTGTTGGTTTCCACATGTGGGCTTAGTGATGTCGGAGAGGTCCTTATGTGACACGTAGAGCTAGAGTCAATAGTCGCTTACACTGTCTCCAATAGCTTAAGCTGTTAGGATGTGAGCCAACTACTACAGTACTACTATATATTCTAACACTTCATATCATGCGAGGGTCTGTCCATATCACTACAGTACTACTATATATTCTAAACTCATGATTTCTTGTTTTGAAATTATATTAAATTGTTCTGGTTTAAAGTCATGATTTCATATTTAGAGATTACATTTTTCTTGTTAACCACTGTTCCATAAGTTTAAGATGTTTGGATGTGAGCCAGCTGTTATGTGCATAATTTCATTCGTTGTCTTTAATCCCTAAATTTATACAATAAGAGTGTATTTGTGGATGCATTTATACAATAAGTGGTACACACAAAGCTTCATTTTCCCCTTTGTATTATTCAATTGAATTGCAGTCTACAATTTACCTGTTTTGAAACTTACAACCTAATTTTATTTCTGGGTGTGCTACCTAGGTGCTTGATGCATTGGTCAGTCTTTTTTGCCGTTCAAATATATCTGCAGAGACATTATGGTATGGTGGTTGGCTTTTGCGCCAGTTACTTCCTTATAGCGAGGCGGAGTTTAACAGCCATCATCTCAAGATGCTGAATGTAAGTTTTCATTTCTTATGGAATGATATAAGAATAGCATTATCATATCTTCTTTACTAAGTTTCATTTTGTATGACAGAATGATCTTCTTTTCTTCTTTTCCCAAAAGAGTAAAATATAGAATTATTCCCTGAACTTGGAGCCTAGTTTAGAATTGGTTCTTGTTGGAACCAAATTTGGAAAATCATGGTCCCACAGTTCTTGAACTAAAATTCCGTTAATTTTAGTCCTTGAATTTGATAAAACGTGCAGAACTGGTCCTTTTAATTGACACTGTTAACAATTCTGTCTAAAATCACCATGTGACGGGCACGTGAACTTCATTATAAGGGTATAGGAGGCTATCTTGGAGAAGAAAAGAGAACGATAGAGAGCGAACAAATTAATGAGCTGTTGTATTATCTTTGTTAATGAAGTACAATAAGGAAGAGTATCAGATTGAACTCTTGTCCTTGATTTCATGGTATGGTATCAAATGGCATTGGTTCTTGATCTAAAATGGAAAGAATCCAACTTCAGTATGGAGGGGGATTTGGAGGAGGTGCAACATGAACCACGAAATTAGCTAGCACTCCCCTTGTTGCTGCGGCATGGAAAATTTCAGAAAAAAAAAGAAACAGAAACCTCGAATCAAAAATCTGCAATCGCGAATCTCATGAGCAAGGTTCCTTATTCTTCGATTACCGCACGGGAATAAAAGTGTGAGCATATTTTAAGATGGGAGATGACTCCCAAGCTTCTGACACGCAAGTCCCCCTCGAGACCCAACCTGGAGCCACTTTTCTGGTTACCACACAACCTAACCCAATCCAGTTACACCCTGAATAATGTGCAAATTTGAAGATGTGACCTGTTCTTTACCGCATGGGACTCGAAACCCAATTACAGCTCCACAACTCCACCGCGAGCAGATTTGCAGCGGCACCACGTCAACTTTCTATGTCAAATGGTTGGTGTTTTTCCTGATATACCCCTATTGTGAAGCTCATGTGCGTGTCACATGGCGATTTTAGGCGGAGTTGTTAACGGTGTTGATCAAAAGGACTGGTTCTGTACATTTTATCAAATTCAAGGATCAAATAACGGTTTTTTAGCTCATGGACCAATTCTAAACTAGGCTCCAAGTTCAGGGACTAACTATATTTTACTCTTTCCCAAAATGTTTTAGCTTTTTAATGGTAATAATTAGTAGCTGCCTCTTTAAGTTGCTGTGCCGGTGGCGGTTGTGTAGGTCTACAAAGGGCCTTGTATTATATGTATGGTACTTCTGTTGGTATATTATTTGGTTGATTCAAGCTTGAGTAGAAATCATTTCTTAGTGAAATGAATTTAAGTACTAGGACATTTGGCACTCTTCTGTCTTCACAGTTACACATAGTTTGAACTGGGTTTAACATAACCATCTAGTGATGCCACAATTTTGTGGTACGAATCTTTTTCTTATCAGGTTCCTACATTGGTTTTTCTATCTTTATGCAATATTTGTGAATGTTATAAAAGTTTATGCTATGCTGGTAAGACTTAATTGCTCTAATGGCAAGGGGATCCTTCTGTCTCTTATTTGTGGTTTTGTACCATCTCCCATGCATTGTAGAATTAGGAGGCGCCACTTAAGGGTGGACCTTTGTTTCTTGAAATTTTAAAATTTATTGATAGAATTTTTCCTCATTTTAGGTGTAGGCCAATGTTTCTCCCACTATGGAAATTTGACCTGGAATGAGAAGTCAATGGTAGACAAATTGTTTTCAAATCTCTCGTTCCATTCATGGAGGATAGATGTAGACTTCCACATGAATAGAACAACAATGCATAGACCCAAGTCCTAATAAGAAAAATAATCTCCTATTCTTTATTCAAAAATCTATATCAAAAACTTTTATATATAATAAACATGACAATGTTTACTTATACAATTTTTCTCATACAGGATTCATATAAGAACTGTGCTAGTGCTCTTCTAATGGAGACTAGAGGAGTCTGGCCAGATCTTCTTGTAACAGTCCTCTGCGATGAATGGAAACGGTGCAAGAGAGGTAATTCATGTCATGTTTTGTGATGACTAATGAATTGGTTGTTTGAATGTTTACTGATGTGTTTTCGAAAATTTGTAGCAATAGAGGCCTTTGCCCCTCGGAAAGAGCCCAAGTGTATTCTGTTGTCATCTCAGAGGTTCTCGTCTGAAGGTAGAACCGAACCTGTTGTGGATTTTTGAATTGAAGGATTTTGAAACCTGCACAGTTGTTTTGAGTAGGCTTTCAGTTAACGTGTCTGTTTTTTCTGATAGATGGTATCACAAGTGATTCATCATTTGCTGCTGGTGAAAGGATGTGTGAGTTGGTCAAGGTTTGTGTTGGTAGTTGGTGCTCTATTAGAATTCTTAAATAAAGAAGTAAAAAGACCAAATTATAGACTTATATAACAAATGCATTAAACACGTCATACATTCGTCTTTTGTGGTGGTACCTGAAACTTTGTTCTGGTCCTAATCTTTATCTTACTTCAGGTGTTTGTACTCCTACATCAACTTCAAATTTTCTCACTTGGTAGAACTTTGCCTGAGAAACCTCCTATTAAACCTCCAGCTGATGCTTTTGAATATTCCCGTGCACAAAGTGCTGGCCTAGATGCTGCAGGTCCAAAGCTTGGCACTGAGCTAAGACTTGGTGAGTTCTCTATCCTGCACATATCCATACCTACATAAATATATATATTTTTTAACTTTTAGTACATACGACTCTGGTAATTCAAGTTATAGCCACCATGCCCAACTTTGTACCATTATTTATTTCTAGAACATGGAGAATTTCTTGATCAATTCGCTGTTGCTGGCATATGCAGTTGATGCTGTACCTTGTAGAATTGCGTTTGAGAGGGGTAAAGAACGTCATTTTTCCTTCCTAGCAATCTCTTTGGGTGCATCTGGCTGGGTTGTTTTAGCTGAAGAGTTACCCTTAAAGGAGCCTTATGGAGTTGTTCGTATGGTTGCTCCTTTGGCCGGTACCAATGTAAGTTACACAGCTGTAGTGCTTTCTATTTCCGTTTTCTACTTTGGTTTAAACATATTTGTAGGTCATTTATAGCATCAGTGCTTTGTTTAGATTTATTCCTATTTTATTTTATAGTTTCTTAAACGTATGGCATATTCAATATGTATATTACTCCTAAGGTACTCCTCTTCACAGTTCATATTGGTAAGCAGTACCAAATTCTTTCTATTTAAGGTTTGTAATTATGATTTCGTTTACTTTTAAATTTCGAACTTTTCAAGGAAGCTGTAGTTTTACATGTATCTAATGTCTTCTTGTTATTGCCTTCAGCCAAAACCTGATGATAGGCATTCAAGATGGTTACACTTGCGAATCCGTCCCTCCACTTTACCGTTTGTGGAGCCTGCTAGATATGGTGCCTACGGGAAAGCAAAGACAAAAGCTTTGGTTGATGGAAGATGGACCCTAGCATTCAGGGATGAAGAGTCTTGCAACTCTGCTTTGTCTATGGTTTTGGAGGAGATGAACCTACAGAGCAATGAGGTAGAGAGAAGATTAAAGCCCTTACTCGACCTCGAGAACTTTGTAGAATCTTCAAACTCTTCTCGAGATCCTCCTCGAACTTCCTCTCCTCATTCAACACTTTCCAATTCTTTTTAGGTCTCCAACTTGCTTTAGTTTCTCAATAATAGGTTGCTAACTCGCTCTAAGATCCTTTTTCAAACCTCCATTCCAAGTCAAGTTTGCGTTGATTGTGTGTGTTGGTAGTGAAGGGGTTGAAGACGGAGAAGTGACTTATTCATGGGGTGGGAACATATTATTTTCTTAGTCACCCTTTGTATATTGTCCAAACAACCTTAGGTATATACCCAAAAATGTAGAGTAGCACCCTCATTTTTGTACCATTCTTTGTATATTAGCTTTGCTTGTCCTGATTTTCGAGTATACGAGGTTTTCCCCCGCATTCTTTAGCAGTTTTTGACCCTAGGCATTTACTTCCATAATTTGTTGCCCCTTTAACAACATTGTGTAAATGAGTTGATTCCGTAGTAAAGGCTTTCTGTGTATCTGTATTTGTACCAGATTTAAGATCTCGTGTGCATGTGATTTGAAATTTCATCGACGAGGAATATGAATTGCTATCCAGGCTTGTTGCTGAAGGTTTCCCGTTTTACCTTTTCTTTCAGTCATTTGTTTTGTGTGATCTATACCAATTTCTCATCACCGTACTTCGCGTTTCATCCGGAAATGATTTCCGCACCCCTCCACATTTCAACAGGAAATTTCCACGTGCATGTGTTGTACAGATGCTCGTGCCTGTTACTTTATACCCTTTATTTTTCTTTGATTTATTCATTTGAAAGGCTAAAAATAGAGAAGGGTGTACGGAAGAAGAAGAAAACGGAGTGTGAAAATCATTTTTCCATGCCAAATCCATACAGGGTAACAACTTCACTGAAATACCGTACAATCCCAAAATCCAACATCCTCTAGATCGTTCAAAGTCTTCAACGGGAAAAGTGGAAAAAGAAAATATAATCTATTTTTGACATCTTCACCCTTTGGCTTTGAGCCGAAAAGCAGAAAATCGAAGTTAAAAGACTCTTCTTATTTCTCACTCACATGTACAAAGGCACACCTTTGCCACTGAGTTGGCCGCACCTAGATATCAGACTCATCGGAATTATATAGGGTTATTGAATCCAAGTGAGTCGAACCTGAAACTTCTCCAAGTGGAGACAAAATTTACTTGGTTAAAACTAGTAACTGTCTCCCTTCTCTTTAATGTTGTAACCTTGTTGCTGATCCTTTGCACCCAGCATGTTTACTTTCAACAATCATTTTTAACGAACTTTCACGTGGTGGCCTAGTGATTGAGAATGAATTTTAGGTCTGTATTCCACAAGGCATTACTAGGTTCGATTTTTAGAGCTCGTGAATCGCACGATGGTGGCCACGGGGAGGTCGAAATGGCTCAGCGAGTCTTCCCAGTCCTCGAAAAGGTGGATTGTTGCGGCAAAGTCACAAACTGATCCATTTTTTCAAAAAAAAAAAAAAAAAAAAAAAAATCATTTTAATGCATTGGAGATAAGTGTAAACTAGACCTTTTCTTTTGATGAACCAACTGAGACAAATCTAATGATTAATGGCTCTTATTAACCTCATTTAGTTGGTGATTTAGATATATATTTTGTTATCAATTGAAGATAATTAATACCTCTTTTCGAAACAATTATTGAACAAAAGTGCGGGGGTCCTTGTTAGTAAAGAACGGCCTACCATGGAGGAAAAATGGGACTCCTCATCATTACTAAACCAAATTAGTGATTAGAGTCTAGAGACATGCTTCTTTAGAAATTCTAGTAATCATTTCGATACCTTTATGGAAACGGTGAAAGGTACATTGCCAAATACCAAGAATAATGTGACGCTTGCAAAGCACTAAAATGCAATCAATTTACTAAACTATTTGTACCATTCACCATGGAGATATATGATCAATAACCTAGTAATACGATTAGTAAATGTAGTAGCAAACAGTAGCGTTACTCTAATTGAATGACAGTGTTGAGGTTGGAGTCTCGAGTGGTTTTCTTCTTCTAACATTGGAAGAAATTCGGAATTTGAATTTTCTTTTTTCTGCTGTTAAGAAAAAATAAAGCAAGTATTCACATAGTCAGTCATATAGTTAATAAATATGATACGCATAACATTACTTAAAAGGTGATGAAAGTGTTTTGGGTTGGGGATGGAAGGGTCATCATTCATTTTTGGCAATACTCTAATTAATAATGTTTCCTATTATTTTATTTATTTATGCTGAAAATCCATTGAATTTGTTTGTTGGGTATAAACCCTAGTAGGCTTTTGTCCCTTATAATGTTCCACTAATTGTATGCGGCATGTGAGTGTTATTATCGCCCACTAATTGTATGCAAAATATGTGTTCATCATTCCCCTATAATACACCACTCTTTTTTGCTTAATATATTAATATTGGACACTTGACACAACTTTTTAATTAATTATAATTATCATAAATTCACATATCCGCCGTTCGATACAATCATACGGTTTGCTATAATGAACCCTTTTGGGTCAAACTAATCATATACTAATTGCGAAGAGAGGAGAAATTTGAAGCATAAAGTGCAATTGGCTTGTAGTGGAGACTGGAGATTAATATTTGTTTTGTGAAGAAGAAGAAGCCCAACGAAATACGTATGAATGATTACTCATTTTTTTGTGTGACAATAATGACCGACATATTAAGAAGAGTCATTGATGGAGGAAAAAGTAAGAGTGCATTATTTATTAGGAAAGTTAACGAAAAATCTTCAAAAAATTTAGTTTTAATGAAAATGATAAAACAAATGTGTGAATGAATAGTACCAAGAAAGGTAAAAATATCATTTTTCGTTAAAAGTGAACATTACCTACCGGAAGTGTTTCGTTAAAACTCTCTTATTTATTGTTGCGAGTTATATATTAGTTAAAGTATAAATAGTAGTGTGTTGTCCTACATTGATGAAGTACATATGTAATACCAATTGTAACTCCTATATATACTCCATTGCGGAGATTAATGAATATATAAGAAATTCCCAAATATTGTCATATATTTTTGGTATTTACCATGTTTAATTTAATATGGCATCAGAGCAATTCGCTCTTGGTGACCTATGTACTTTAATTTTGTGCTCACTTTTGTCGTGATTTCCTTTGTTGAAAAAAAAATTGAAAAAAAAAGAAGAGTGAATAGTGCCGTGCTACAGTACATCGCCTTGCTATAGTGTGTGAACAGTGTCTGCTAGCGTTCGTGAACAGTGACCTACTACAGTCATGAATAGCCCCCCTGCTACAGTGCGTGAACAGTGATCGGCTACAGTGTTCTGGTAAATTGTTTTCATTCCGTTGCGTATTTTTTGTGCCTTTATTGTTCATGATTTAGTTCAATGACTCAATATAATCATAGTGTTGTTATGCATATTGGTGGAACAAATAAATGGATAATTGATACTGGGGCAACTGATTATGTGACTAGTGACCCTAGAGTGTTTGATGAGTTATGTGACTATGTTCGTGATCCGTATATTACTAGTGCAAATGGAGCACATTCCCCTGTGAATGGTGAATGCACTATCTCTCTTACTCCGACATTATCATTGGTTCATGCTTTATTTGTTCCTGATGTTAAGTGCAATCTTTTGTCTGTGGGAAAACTTCTTGATACCTTATATTGTTCTGCTCACTTTTACCCTACGTATTGTTATTTTCAAGACATTCAAACTCAGAAGATAATAGGTTGTGGTAAAATAATAGGGGGTTTGTACATCTTGACTATGGAGGATACTGTTGTTTCCGGTTCAAATAATCATTAAGCTTTAAGTGCTAAAGTGGATGACAGACATCAAATTTGGTTGTGGCATTGACGATTGGGACATCCATCATTCAGTTATATGAAACATTTATTTCCTTCTTTATTTCGCACTTATAGTGATTCAGAGTTCAAGTATGAAACATGTGTCATGGCTAAGAGTCCTCGTGCTTCCTTTCCAATAAGTGATTATAAAGCTACTTTGCCTTTTGATTTAATACATTCTGATGTGTGGGGTTCGGCGAAAGTTATTTCTAATGGATTCCATTGGTTTGTTACTTTTATTGATGATTGTATTCGATTAACTTGGGTGTTCTTGATGAAGAATAAGAGTGATGTTCCTTTACTTCTTTAAGAATTTTATGCAATGGTGTCTACTCAGTTTCAGACCAAAGTTAAGGTCTTTAGGTCTGATAACGGATGAGAATATATGAATCACACTTTGGTATTTTTTTTTCATGATCAAGGTATTATTCATCAGACGATTACTCCGTTTACACAAAACGGTGTGTCTGAACGAAAGAATCGTCAAATAATGGAGGTTGCTCGCTCCTTGATGTTGGATAAATGTGTTCCTAATCATTTGTGGGGTTATACTGTTTTGGCTACTATGTATTTGATAAATCGTGTTCCAAGTAGGGTTCTTGATTTTTAGACACTGCTTGATGTGCTACAAAACATGTTTCACTTGTTTCTGTATCAAAACTTCCTGCAAAGGTGTTTGGGTGTATTGTGTATGAGCATGTCTACTCTCATCAGCGGAGTAAACTTGATGCATGTGCTCTCCAATGTGTATTTATTGGGTATGCTAACAATCAGAAAGGCTATAAGTGTTATCATCATCCGACTCAGAAAACTTATATTACTATGGATGTCACCTTCCACAAGGACGTTGCGTATTTTGTGAAGCCCTTTTTTGACTCTCTACTTCAGGGGGAGATGGGGAGTGAAGTGCAGATTCGAAGAGATGGTATGGATGATGTGTTACAGGCAGAGTTGGGGACAAAACCTATTATGTTGCGTGATACTGATCAGTTAGCTATAAATAGTGATCGGTCACCTGTCATTACCAAAACTATTTGTACTGACGATAGATCAGATGTGCCCAATGAGTTGCCTGTTAGTATGTCTGACGAATTACCTTCTGATGAGCCGTTGCTTGATGATGGTTCGTCCAGTGATGATTCTTCTAACAGTTTGGTACAAGATGGTGGCATACATGAGGTAAATTCTAACGATTCTTCCACTTATCAGTTGCCTTCACGAGCTAATCGTGGAAAACCTAAAGTACAATATGATCCTGATATGCATGCCAAAGCCAAATATCCTATCAACAATTATATGTCTACTCATCGTTTGTCCAAACCATATGCATCTTACATATATCAGCTATCTAGTGTATCGATTCCAACAAAATTGCATGATGCTTTGTTTGATCCTAAATGGGTTAATGCCATGAGAGTTGAGATGGAAGCTTTGGAAAAGAATTCTACTTGAGATTTGGTTCCTTTACCAAATGGGAAGAAAGCTGTTGGATATAGATTGGTGTTCACTATTAAGCACAAAGCAGATGGTTCTATTGACCGGTATAAAGCCAGTTTAGTTGTTAAGGGTTATACTCAAACCTATGGGGTGGACTATCAGGAGACTTTTGCTCCTATTGCCAAACTTAATACTGTGTGTGTTCTTTTGTCCTTGGCAGCAAACCAAGATTGGCCTCTGTTGCAGTTTGATGTTAATAATGCTTTCCTTCATAGTGATCTCAAGGAGGAAGTTTATATGGATCTCCCACCT